ACCCTTGTGTTGAGCCTGCAGGTAGGAACCAACACTTTAGTCATTCCTAAACATACTTCACATGCTGTCCTTTGAGGTGCACCCCTCCACACTATGCAGAGCTCTGACCTCTCCCAGGAAAAGCATACCAAATCCTTTCCCCTATCATCTGAACCTCCCAGACTTGAGGATCAGAAGAAATAACTACCATGACAGAACACTTGTCACCTATTACTAGAATCTATAATCATAGACCCAAGGTCTAACCCAAGTAATGTAAATGTGGGTGTTAATGTTTTTATTTGATCTGGCCGTACATGCACAATTTTTCTGACACTCAAAAACTCACTGAAGTCAGGTGTGTTGTCTCAAGTGAACGATCTCAGCCTTCTAGGTGGCTGAAGCAAGAGGACTGTGGAGAGCTTGAGGCAAGCCTGGGATACAAAATGAGTTCCAGGCCAGCCTGGGTTAGAGAATGAGATCCTTCCCCCAGAGCAAAAACATAAACAAATGAAAACAGCAGCAACAAAAACTCATTTACATAACTCCTTTCTAGAAATAGAGCTATTCACAAATATCATACTATTAAACTCTCCTAGGAAATTAACAATAACTTTACATTTTACCTTTTTCTTTACCATTTGGGAAACAGGAGGAATACCAGAAGCTTGGGTTACACAGAGTAGGAAATTTGGCCCGATCTGTCACTAGTATCAAAACGTGTACCACTTGGGAACTAAAGTTTTCAAGTAAGAGGATTTCTTCAGTTTTCTTTTTGTTTGTTTGTTTTGGTTATTTTTATGTTTACTTGAGTTGTGTTGTTGTTGTTGTTTTTAAAACAAAGTCTTGCTATGTAGCTCTGGCTGACCTAGTACTCATTATATAGTTCAGATTAGCCTTGAACCCACTTCAGCATCCTTAGTGCTGGGATTACAGGTGGGTATCATACCAAACTGATAAGATTTTTTTTTTAAGATGGAGTGTGATGTAGCCCAGGCTAGATTTGAGCTTGCTATTGAGGGTGACAGTTCCTCTTGTCTCTACCTTTGGATAAGATTGTGCCTGTTTTTTTTTGTGGTTCTGGGGTTTCATACATGCTAGGCAAGCATTTTACCATTGGAGCCACATTCCTAGCCTGGTAAGATTTCCAAGGATCCTCTGATTCCTAGACCTATTTTGTCCTACCTGCCCCCAAATAGTGAAACTTGAATCATCTCCAGATTCCCAATCCAAGTTCTATAAAACTGAACTGATGGTAGATATGTACTCATTACTCATCAGTTTTGTGGGTTTTCCCCCCAACAATTGCCCCAAACCTTGCTTGTTTCTAGATACCTGGTATCTTCTTTCCCCTCCATACTCAGGAGGCCACTCTCTATCCCTTCTGTCCAAGATGACCCTATCAGTTCATGTGTACTGCTCTTAATGGATAGGGCAGGGAGGAAACATCAGATGTTCTATTTTGTACCTGCATTCAAAAGCAGCATCTGCCATGTCTGCAGGACCATCTGTTGCTCACTTTGACATGGAAAGGATGTGGCAGGCTTCAGAGGCAGTACCATAGGTCCCACAATGGAATTATCCCTTTCTTGGGGGTGTATACACCCAGACATATGTTCCATAGCCAGCACAGTTTACATCCTTGTCCCCAACAAAGAACTAATTTTCTCGTGGGGAATGGTACTGCTAAACTCACAAAAGGTCCTGTTCAGGGTTTTGGTTGTTTCTTTGTTTTTAAATTCCACTTTTTTAAATATCAATTTTTGCATTTTCTAATCTTGGGCAAGGTCTTGCCAGTCTCTAATCTCCAGGCATATTATCTATAAAAGTGAGAGTTGAACTTAGTGATCTCTGAGGCTCTCTTTGCCCTAACATCTCAAATTCCCGATTTTTCAGCTAATTCAAAGGCATCAAAGAACATAGGAAGTTCTTCCACCTTTATGGCACATTAAGACTCCTAATGACAAAAAAATCAGCTGCAGATGAAAAGCTTCTAAGACAAGGTCTTTTTGTGCTGAGAAAGAAGAGTTAAAGTAAATTTCTTGAGAATCTAAATTAAATTAAGATCCCTAATCTTGTTAACATCTGGCCTGAGGTGATGTTCCAGCACAGGGTTTGGACCAGAGAGTTCTTTTTCTGTCCTGGGCACTGCAGGGTGTTTAAAAGCATCCCAGGTCTGTATTCATTAGCTGCCAGTAGCACTCTCCTAACCCCTAGCTGTGACAAAATACATTGGGCTGAGATCCCCGGGATCCCCTTGGGATCCCATCTCTCCTCATCAAGGACCATAGGCTGAAGTACATAGCAGGACTTTAAGACAAAACACATCACTCAGAAGGTGTTTTAGTTTCAAATGGGTGATTGATGGTCACCCATCTAATAAGCACAGAGAACTTTAAAGATAAATTATAATGCATAGGTATTTCTGGAAAAATGTATAAAGTTACCATCTTTTCAGTCACCTGGTGTACCCTTCTGCCAAGGGTTAAAAATTAGCAGACACTAACACCAGTTACCATAACCACAACCTCAACTGCTTTTACAAAGTATGCAAAAGTAATCAAGACTCAAACAGTAGCTCCTCCAGTACAGTCCACTACTGACCCTTTTACAGCCTCAAAACTCTGAAGAGAATAGCGAAACCCAGAGTTTGATCAAATCAACAGTGACTTTTTCTTCCCTCTTCTGAAAAGGTAAAGTGGTCAACTCTGGCCAGGATTCCTGAAGAGAGTATTAACAACTTTTGTCTACTTCCCGTGTATCTTTTCTTCCTTGCTCCTAATAGACATCTCCTGCAGCTGATCTCACCCCCAAAAGAACAGCAGCTGCCAGCTGTGTGAAACAGACTGAAGCCTAAAAACTGACTGTAATGATGACTACTCTTAGCCAAACATCTAATTTTGCCATTTGTGAGAGAGCTGGGATTTGCAAACTCCCTGCCTCAGGAGTGAAAACTCCATTAGTTAAGAGCAACAACTTAACTCTCTTTGCTAGTAAAAGAAACACTGCTTATCAATGTTTGGAGACTGCAGTGTTTCTTAATTATATATGTTTAAATTCCATAATAAATTTATCAGGCAAAAAAAAGAAATCCTTCTGAATAGCTAAGCCTAGGACACGAAATGGGAACCATGAAAGACACAAATGTTACTTTTCAAAGAACCTTAGGTCTTTATTCAAACAAATATTTACACAATTGCGGCACAGGGCATATAGCTATTCTGTTAAATAGTGGGCTACTCTAAAGGTTTATTTATCCCAAATCCTACTACTCTGTTGCTATCCTACCAGGAACAAAGAATTCAAGTGCTCCAAGGGCAAAAGTTTAACCCTGTGGAACTATGAACCTCATTTAGAGCCTGCCAGCTGATCTCAGACCTTCAGAGAAAAATCTCAAAGGTCCAAGTTAAGCCAAAGTTTTAGCATAGTTACAGGTCCTATATTTGAAATTTTATATCTGAAACTTACACACTGTTATAATGAAGGGAAATGTGGCTGTCAAATATTTACACTAACAGACTCCACATTTTTACACCTCTTCTAATTCCTTCCCAGCTGTGCCTGGTTATGACTAGCTATGCATCCTAGAACTCTTGAGATCCTTTAGAGCCACAAAAGGAACACTTCCAGGGAAAGAGGGCTGGGCCAGGCGAGAGGATTTCCAGCTCCGCAAGTTCACATAAAAGGGAGCCGGATTCTAACCTCTTTTAAGTGAAAAAGGTAAAGGAGGAACGCTGGAAGTAGGTTGGACTTGCAAAGCTTTTTCAAACAGGAAACCCCAAGCAGGGAAGAGACAGCCTGTCAGCCTTTTAATTTCCTGGCGGTGGCGGGAGTTAGCCAGGTCCTTAGAGCTTTAGTGCAAAATTACTAAATTCACCAACAAGCAGATCAGCTGCTCCCTCGCCCCGCTCGTGAAATAGAGGAGTCGAACCGCTCCCCAAGGCTTGCAGCCGCTGTTCCTAACGACTCAGAGAACTTAAGGGGACCTAGAACTGAATCGGAAATCAGGGGGTCTGGATGAAGAGCCTCGGTCCTGAGGATCAGCCTCGAGCCTCACTCGAGAAACAAAGTTCAGCTAGTAGACTAGTGGGCACAGGTATTTGGGGAAGGGTCTTCTCTGAGTGCGGCGCCCCTCACCATCCAGCTGTGGACCTCCTTTTTCCCAAGGACCTTTCCCCGGGATTCCCATTTCTGCTAGAGCAATCCAGAGTCGTCCAGGGGACCCCTAAATCCTGTCTTTTCCTCACAAGCACTCTGGAACAATCTCCCCCATAGGACACCCCTTTCCTACGAGCCCCTCCACTGCACACTCCAGGAGTTAGGCATAACGACAAAGTTCAGCTAGTAGACTAGTGGGCACAGGTATTTGGGGAAGGGTCTTCTCTGAGTGCGGCGCCCCTCACCATCCAGCTGTGGACCTCCTTTTTCCCAAGGACCTTTCCCCGGGATTCCCATTACTGCTAGAGCAATCCAGAGACGTCCAGGGGACCCCTAATCCTGTCTTTTCCTCACAAGCACTCTGGAACAATCTCCCCCACAGGACACCCCTTTCCTACGAGCCCCTCCACTGCACACTCCGGGAGTTAGGCATAACGGATGACAGACAGGGTCCCCTAAGGCTGTACCGCTCAGGCTCTACTGACCCCAACCCAGGCTTTTGTCCCTGCAGCTTGCAAAAGAAGCAAAGAAAGTCTGCGCCCGGGCCGCGCACTCACCAGCTCATCTTTCTCCGGGGACTCCGCGGTGGAACGGCCAGGCCCGCGCCCCCACCCTCCCTCCCAGGGGTCCCAGCCCCGGCCCGCAGCCACTCCCGCACCGCAGCAGCCTCTCCGGCCGCGGAACGCTCACTCTCCGCGCCCCTCCCGCCGCCGGCCACCGCCTCCTCTCCGCCCCCAACCTCCGCTGCGCAACCGGCGGTGACCAACTCGGCTACGGGGGAGGCAGGGTCCCCCCGAAAGCCTCCAGGGAGCGGGGAAGCAATGCAGCCCGCTTCCCCCGGAGCACAGTGGCCCCCTCCTCACCTGCGGCGCCGACGCGGCCGAGTCCCGGCAGCCAGAGAGGACAGGCGCTCTGCGTGCGCCCCGCCACACCAGGCAGCGCCCCTCCGGCCGCGGTGGTGAGCTCCTTGAGGCTGGGTCCCGGTCCCCAGTCCTTCTACAGCACTGCGGCGGGTCACTGGAGTTCCAGCAGGGAAGTCCCAGACCCTTTCCCGCCCCTAAGCAGCTGGATGCTAGGGCTAATAAGTCGCTGGAGTGGTCCGGCCGCTCGTCCCATCACGCTTTCTCCAAGCTGAATTCACAGCAATGCAAAAGAGACTTTTGTAGCTAGTTTATTTTCTTTACCTTTTTTTTTAATGAAATGGAAGAAGGGCGGGAGAGTACACGTCCCTGGGTGGTAATTTCCTCCCTGAGGATGAAGTTTTTGCAGTTGGAAACTCCAGGTGACCACACCTCCTCAGACAACCTCCCAAACCCCACCCCACCCCGGAGGCAAGTTTACCTGATGTGTCAGAAAAGCTGCTGTGCAAAATAACAAGGGAACGGCCTTGGGCAAGGGCTGGGGTCATGAGGGTTTAAGACACTGATTGCCTTGTTTCTCCTAAACGTTTCTATGGTCTCCAACATATTTAACATAACTAGTGAAAACAAAGCTGATGTGAACCTCTTTCCTGGGAGGCTACGAAATGGACTGAGGACCAACCACAGTCCATCTTGGCAAGCGGGACCGTTATCCTCCGCAAAATTCTGGGCCAGTGGGGATACATGGAGAAAGGACATCAGCCCTAGACAAACTGACTACAACTGGGAAGCACAAAGACAGGGACGCTCTTTAACATAATAATGAGGCCTGGGCAAGTTGTTTTAGCTCCCAGCAAGCCTGTCTTCAAGGCTTTATAAAGGGAGCAACTGTGGTACCAGGGCTGTAAGGCAGCTAAGAAGCTTAATATATACAAAGTGCTCGGCGCTATAAGTACACTTACTTAACAAGATAAGCGCTTAGTTAATATATGTTTCATGCTGCGCATGGTGGTGCATGCCTTTAATCACAGAACTAAAGAAGCAGAGGCAGAGGCAAAGGTAGAGGCAGGAGGATTGCTCAGTTCCAGACCAGCCAGGGCCATACAATGAGATTCTTTCTTAAATCAACAAAAAAGTGTATGTTTCATTTGTACAAGTTAAAATATGGCTTCTTTTTTAAAAGATTTATTTTATTGTTTATGTGTATGTATGCATATGTGAGTATATGGGTTCAGATACCTGGGGAGGCCAGAAATGGTTCTGAGCCACCCCATGTGGATGTTGGGAACCTAACTGGGTCCTATGCAAGAGCAGTATGTCTGTTAACCACTGAGCCATCGCTCTAGCCCCTAAAGTTTGCCTTCTAATTTCAAGGAGAACCTCAGCTATAAGAAAGCTTTGCATTTTATAGTATCCTCCCCCACCCCGGGAAATTTTTGTCCCATGGTAAAAAATTTGGGTGAGTCAACCCAATAGTTAAGTGCACCAGCCTTTCTTCTCTCAAAGGCTACCATATTTCCTCTTTAGTGGGTCATTCCTGTCAACCTAAAATCATATTATTTATCCCACCTTAATAAAACTGAAAACTTTCTTGACTCAACTTTTACTCCTCCAGCCACTTACCCTTTTCCCTGCTCAGTTATAGCAAAACTCCTTCAAAAAACTGTTAAGAAAAGATGTCTCCACTTCCTCCCCATTTACTCCAGTTAAATGTTGCCTTTACTATGTCCCTAGAATTATTCTTGTTGAGCTTAAATTATGCAATTGAAAGAGTGTGTTTTCCCAAGCATGGTGGTACATGACCATAATTTCAGCACTTGAGAGACTGAGACAGGAGAATCAAGCGTGTTCCAGGCAAGCTTGGGCTATGTAACAAGTTGGGAACAGCCTGAGCTGCTTGGTGAAGCCATGTCTCAGAAAACCAAGGACTGGCCATCCAGATGAGTGGTAGCAAGTTCAAGGCACTGGTTTCTCAACACTGTGGGGGAAAAAGTCACAGCTCATCCTTCAGCAACATTGCTCATTTTCTCTTCTGAAAACACTGTTGTTAGACATCCCTGGCCCATTTCTTGCTTTTCTTCCTAGTGCCTTCTTGTTTCCTTTGTAGATTCCTTTTCTTCTCCCAGTGAGCACTCAGTTCATACTCTGGATCTCAATATGCTGCTTCCCTTCATCTGTCTTTCTGCCTCATGGAACTAAATCCCATCATGTGTGATCACTCACAAATTTTACGTCCAGCCTGGCTCTCTCCCACCTGGCAGCTGCCCACATGGATGCCCACTGACTTCTTAAACAACATTCTCAGCATAGAACTCCTGAAACTCTTTCCCCAACCCCTCTTTTCTAACTCAAGTGGTTCTTCCTGTAGCAAGTTTAAAACTTTACTGTCATCTTTGGGACCTCTATTTCCACTCATCAGGAAGTCCTTTCTACTATTCAGAATTCCACTACTTACTACCTTCATTGTTAATCTCAGCCAGATCTCATCCGCCATATTGTCCTGACTTTACCCTTGTCCTGTGTCTACATTTGCCTTCTTACAGGCTATCAGCACAACGGTCAGGATGATCATTGTAAAACAGTAGGCAGCACAAATTGCTCCTTTCCTTACTATCTGTACAGTTCTGTCTCATTCAAAACAATGGCCAAAGTTCACGTGATGACCCAGAGGATAATCCCTGACCTGCCATTCTCTGACCCCAACTCTACTTCTTTCACTCAGTTTCTGTCACCATGTCCTCCTCCATATTCCTGTGCTAGACTCCTGGAGAGGTGTGCATCTGCCTCAGGACCTCTGTGCTAGCTGCTTCTCTGCTCAAAGTTCCCCCATCCTTCCTCATCCCATGCCTCTGCATCACTTGCACATCTCACTCTTTCTTGGAGATGTGGCTCTAATTTAACCATGTTTCTCAGGCCTTTCTTGACCATTCTGCTTAAATTTTAAATGTATTTTCCATACCAATATGCTTGCTCTATTTTGTATAGACAGAGGTACCATCTTCTGTTATCTAATTGTGTTAGTCAGCTTTCCATTACTATAGCAAATATCCAGAGGTTTCAGTTGACAATTGACTGACTCTGTTGCTTTGTGTCTGTGATAAGGAAGCACATACATGTGGAAGAACAGAACTGTTCACCTCATGCATAGAAGACAAGAAAATGGGGGGAGGGGGTAGATCTCACAAGCTCCTCAGTAACCTCTAGGCTCTACCTCTTAAATTTTCCACCAACACCCAACAGTGTCATAAACTGGGGATTTGGTGATACTCTAGATCTCTAGATATAAACTACAAAAATTTCAAATTGTACTTTTAAATCACGTTAGTGTCTGCATCTCCGCTAGAATGGAAGTTCTAGGCAGATGCTATTTTTTTCTGTTCCTCAGTGTGGTATCTCTGATGTGCTCAGAATGTTGCCCCACATATAGTTGATTTGCAAGAATAAATGATTGCTTTGACCCAAATTCTGCTTATAGATGTTTCCTTGCCTGGAATACTGTCACCAGTATACTTGACTTAGACAATTATTCTCTGAGGAATATGCAAACTAACACAACATACCTAAATAGGCTATAATTACATTGCTAATATTCATGACTAAGGAAATAAATCATTGGTATTTGTTGTGAACAACAATTATCATATGGCAATTTTTCTAAATACATGATACTTCTATATTGGTTACTTTTCTATTGCTGTGATAAAATACTATGACCAAAAGCAACTCATTGAAGAAAGAGATTATTTGATTTACAGTTCCAGAGGGAGAGTCCATAATGGTGCAGGAGGCATGACAGCAGGCAGCTAGAGCAGGAAGTCGAGAGATCACATTTCAACTGAAGACAGGAAGCAGTAAGAACAAGAATGAAGTGGGGTGAGGCTATAAACCCTCAAAGCCCACCTCCAGTGACATACTTCCTCCATTGAGGCTCCATCTCCTGGAGGTTCTATAACTTCCCCAAACATCACCACCAACTGGGGATCTAGTATTCATACCTGAGCCTATGGGGGACAATTCTCATTCAATCCACCACAATAGTGGTCATAAGTTTAATAGGTTAATAGGTACTGTGCTCACTTTACAAGTGAGAAAAGGATGCACAGACAAGTCACACTCACCTAAGCAAGTAAACGGGTAGAGCCAGAGTTTGAGTGTAGCAGCAGGATTCTAGATGCACCACCTTCAGTGCTATTGCACACCTCACCTCTTCTCTAGTATGACTGTTGTCAGAGGAATGTCTGCAGGGTGAGTAATTCCTAATCAGACAAATCTAATACTCAAGGTCCTGCTCTGTTTGTCCATGTCTCTGTCTCTGATGAAACACATTCCTTGAAGGCCAACGGGTCATTTTATTCATATCTACATGAATCATACCCGACGGCTTGATACATAGAAGGGACTACTAAAAAATACTTATTTAATGTGACTTTTTAAGTGACTAAACCCAGCAGAACTTCTGATGAGTCAACATGGTTTCCATTCCCTTTCATAATACCCCAGCAGCCTCAAGATGGAAGAGATCTACCCTGAAGGTGCATGTGGTAAATTAAATTTTAAATGCAGTCCTTCAGTGCCTTAACACATATGGGTATTACTCAATAACCAGTAGTAATAGTAGTATCAGACATTTATTTTTAGTTATGATGCTTTAAATACATAAAATAAAAGATAGAAATGAGTCCTTTACTTTTGCTTTTTCATTTCCTGAGTTCTATTGCATTTATTTATTTATTTATTTATTTTGAGACAGGATCTCATGTAGCTCAGGCTGGCCTTGAATTCCCTATGTAGCTGAGACTTGTCTTCAACTTCTAATTCTCTCACCTCCACCTTCTGAGTGCTGGGATTATAGGCACCACTATGCCTAGTTTATGGGTGCTGGGGAACAAACCTAGACAAGCACTCTATCAACTGAGCTACAGCCCTAGCTGACTTCTGGGTTAAGTAAAATTCCCACCGCAGATCAGAGCCACATCCTAATCTCTGCCATTCCTAATCATCCATTATGGATATTGTGCCACAAAATGCATAGCATTCTTTCCTTTACTGTTTACCTTTCCAGAGTCTGAAGTGATTATAAAACTTGGTTTTATTTTGCTGTGTTCTTCAACTTCTCGGGTGGGGAAAAATAAAGTATAAATGGTGATGTTAAGGATTATTCATGAAGTTTGGAGAGATGGCTGTGCTGGATAGCTTTAGTGTCAACTTGACACACCTGGGTTGAGGGAGCCTGATTTGGGGAATTGCCTCCTTTGGACTGACCTGT